GGGATATTTAAATCCCGGCTTCATTGACTATGTCGGGTAGCCTATTTTACATGCCTCTGTCGGCAGAGGCACGTAGTCTAGATGTACCCTAACGTGCTACAGGACTTCTGGTGCTAAGGGTGTAACTGGCAACTCTTGGTCCATAACCAGTTCAGCTTTGGGGGGCCAGTCAGCAGAAGGTGACATAATCTCATACACTATCGAGGCAGATTGTTACATTAGGCTGCATGTAAGGTGAATGTGGAAGGAAGGATTTGAGAGAAAAGACTGCATGAGGGGGAGAAGAATGCAAGCATCTTGAATCTGACATTCCGAAGGACACACGGCAAAACCTCAAGGTGATTTTTTTTTTTTTTGGTTATTTACAGGGGCTCTTTCAGCTTTGTAAAACGGGTTGTGCACAAAGGGAACAGAGTCTCGTGTGCTGCTAAGTTCATACCTCTGCGAAGCAAAACGAGAGCCCAGTCCTACCAGGAGAGGGACATCCTCGCCACGCTTTCCCACGACAGAATCACCCGCCTGCTGGATGCGTTTGAAACAAGGAAAACCTTGGTTCTGATTCTGGAGCTGTATCCTTCTTGGCAAATGCCCCTTGATTTCAGTGGGGTCAGGATTTCACTGCAGGTCTTTAGTATTGTTCTCCACAAGTGCAATGTAAGTTCGCTGGTCTGCTTTTTCAGTGTATTTCTACCCAAGTAACCAAGGGCAGAACTGTGCCCAGGTTTGCAAACTTCTGAAATGTCTAAATCTTGGGAGTTGATGGGATTGTCTGTCCTGCTCCATGGATGCAGGTGTCCTGGAGATCTTTAGTGAAGGGTGGAAGGGACAATAAAACAATCTGTGTATGCATAGAAGAGAAGCGCCATGTCTGTCCACCAAGAGCCAACCGAAGGTCTTCAGCACACGCCCTAACAATGGTCCTAAGGAATCTCAGAAGAATAGCTGTGTTAGTCTTTAAGGTACCACAGGACTACTCATTGTTTTTAGAGACTAACCAAAATATCTAGAATCATGTGTTCTCATGGGCAATGCGCACTTCCTCAGATGAATTGGAGTGGAAATAACAGAAACCAAGAAATACATATAACAACAGAAGTACCTGTCAATAGCCTCATTAACACAGGTCCTACAACGGAGAGGTGCGTCTTCTGCTGTTATATATCTCTTGGTTTCTGTGATTTCCACCCCAATTCATCTGAGGAAGTGAGCGTTACCCACAAAAGCTCATGATTCTAGATATTTTGGTTCGTCTCTTAGGGTGTGTCTAGACTACCTAGTTTTGTCGACAAAAGTGGACTTTTGTCGACAAAACTATACCAGCGTCTACACTACCGCTGAGTTCTGTCGACATAACGTTGACAGAACTCAGCAGTTTTGTCGACGCTGGTATACCTCATTTTACGAGGCATAACACCTTCTGTCGACAGAACTCTGTCGACAGAAGGTGTTATTGCCTGTAACGTTGCGTCCAGACTACGGAGTTCTGTCGACAAAGCAACTTGCTTCGTCGACAGAACTCAATGTGTCTGGACGCTCTTTGT